AGTCTATAAATTTTAGATAAATGTCTGTGAATGTACTACAATTCCTCAATCCAGTCCAGTTTCCATGTATTTGGGATGGTGAATGATGCTATGAACATTGGGGTACAGATCTCAATTTGTGCCTCAGTTCTCATTTTCTCCGGGTATATTCCAAGCAGTGGAATGCTGAGTCATTAGGAGTTTCTATATTCAGCTTTTTGAGGAAACGCCAAACTGCCTTGTAGAGTAGTGGTACCATTTTAAAATCCTACCAACAGTTATGAGTGTTCCTATCTTGTCACATCCTCTCCAAAATTTATTACTTGCTGTCCTGGTAAATAAACTTTGCCACTGCTACTGGGGTGAGATGCCATCTCATTGTGGTTTTGATTTGTATCTTATTGTTAGTGGTTTTGAGCATTTCTTCATATGTGTGTTGGCCATCATTAATGTCTTTCTCTGTGAAAAGTCTTTCCATGTGTTTTGCCCATTTTGTAATTGGGTTATTAGTCTTCTTGTGGAGGCCCTGTAGTATTCTGTAAACTTTTATGAGATGGTTGCCAAATTGTTTTTTCCAGTCAATAGGTTTTCTTTTTACTGTCAGAAAAACGTTTTGATACACATGAGGATCTTTAGAAGGTCCTGTTGATCCCGTTAAAAACTTCTGGTTGTATTTGTCAGCCCCTTCATGCCATGGGCTAGGCCTTCTGAGCTTGGTCCTACTTTGTCTATTATGATCTTTATGGTTCTGGGCTTTATCTCTAGGTCTCTGATGCACCTTGAGTTGATTTTTGTGAATGGTGAGAGGTGTGGATTCTGCTTTAGCTTTCTGAGGGTAGTAGGCTTTGCCAGCAACATTTGTTGAAGAGGTTGTTTCCCCATTTGATAGGTTTTGTTTCTGTGTCGAGTATCAGTTGACTATCTAGATGGGTTGATTTCTGGGTAGTTACCTGTTTTGGGGGAACTTACAACATAGGAAAATGTAAATTCTCTACAAAGGTTACCCTTGCTGGTTAAGTATTGTTGAATTGAGTATGACTCATCGTGATCTTATGAATCCTCTCCTACCCTATGTCATCATTCCTGATATAGTCAAACCTATTGCTGCCATTACTGTTTACTATTACTACTTGTTGAGGGTCTTCCTTGTTTTCACTGACCCTCTACTTTTCAAAGAATGATGTCCCTTTCCAACAAATAGATCCTCCTAACATGCCCAGAGTATGTGAGACAAAACTTCACCATCCTTGCCTCCAAGGAGCACTCTGGCTGTACTTTCTCCAGGATATATCTATCAGCTCTTTTGGCAGTCCACAGGATATTCACCACTCTCCAACACCACAACTCAAAGGCATAAGTTCCTCTCAGATGCATAGCTAGTGATGGGAAAGACCATGGCCTGGATCAGGTGTGTCTTTTAAACAGACATCATTGCTTCTCAGTCCTTTGGAGAGGTTCCTGAAAACAGACTTTCCCATTGCAGCTATCTTTTGATATCTTAACTGCTGGAACCAAGGGTGTTGATTTTGGATGCCTGTAAGATGAAACTTGACAATACCAATCTTTTTTCCATCGATCATGAAGTTACCAGCCTCATGAAGATTTTTATTTTCTTGAGGTTGAAGTGCATTTCACATTGAAGGCAGTAGCCTTTGATCTGTAGCAAGTGTTTACTCACTTTCAGCAAGTAAGGTGTTGTCCTCCGCATAATGTAGTTTGTTGAAGGCACTTGACTGTGTGGATCATAACAAGTTATGGCTAACCTAGAACACTTAATTGTGCTCATGTGGAACCTATATTTGGATCAGGGAGCAGTAGTCAGAACAGAGCTGGGAAATACTGCATGATTCAGGATCAGGAAAGGTGTGCATCAAGGATGCATCCTGTTACCATGCCTTTTCTATCTATATGCAGAACAGATCATTTGGGAGGAGGAATGTGGCATCAGGATTGCAGTACCTGTGTTATGCAGATGACACAACCTTGTTTGCTGACACTGAGGAGGACATGATGCATTTGTTGCAGTAGGTCAAGGACTGTCATCTTCAATATAGACTGATGCTCAACCTAAAACAGATTCTCACCACTGGGCCAATTGGCAGCTTCATAATAGATGGAGAAGAGATTGAGATTGTTAACAACTTTAGCTTGCTCAGTTCCACAATCAGCACTCTTGGCACCAGAAGTCAGAAGATGAATTGCATTGGGAAAATCTGCATTTAGGGACCTCGTTAGAGTACTGAAGAGCAATGATGTCAGTCTGGAGATTGAGGTGCTCCTGGTACAGGACATGATCTTTGCAATTGCTTGCTATGCATCAGAGAGCTGGGCAATAACTAAGAAGAATCAGTGCCTTTGAGTTGTGCTAAGAGAAGAGTGTTAAATGTACTGTGGACTGTCAAGAGAACAAACAGGTCTGTCCTAGAGACAGTGAAACCAAGCTGCTCCCTGGAGGCAAGGATTTGGAAGTTTCATTTCACATATTTTGGGCATGTTGCTAGGACAGGCTGTTTCACGGAGAGGGACATGATGCTGGGAAGGGTGGAGGGTAGAGAGTTGGCGAAGGAGAGGGAGGCTCTCAACCAGGTGGACTGCTACAATGGGCTCTTTATGTGTCAGGAAGTGTGAGGATGGCACAGGCTAGAACAGGGTTCAGATCTTTTCTTCATAGGGTTGCTATGAATCATACTCGACAGCACCTAACAAAAAGACATAAAGAGTATTTACTATCACCAATAAGGAAAAGCCAGGAGTGGATCTCATTCTTTGGATCCAGAGTCCTTGTGCTTAGGAACCTCCTAGACCCAGGGGAATATGGATGCAAAGACGTGGACCCACAGATGATGGAGAAAAGGATCTTCCTCTAGAGCCTTTTAGAGCTAGCATCCTGAATTTGGATTCTAAACTTTAGTATTCTAAACTCCTAATCTTTAGTATTCTAAATAGTGAAACAATAAATTTGTTAAAGTCATCTTGTGGTATTTTTGTTACAGCAAACAGATTTGTCCTGGAAAGGGTTAAACCAGGTGGCTCCTTGGAGGCAAGGATTCTGAGACTCTGTCTATCATACTTTGGACATGTTGTGAGGAGAGACTGGTCCTTGGAGAAGCACATCATGCTTGGGAGGGTGGAGGGACAGCGCAGGAGGGGAAGGCCCTCTATGAGGTGGATTGATTCAGTGACTGGGATAATCGGGATGGGAGTGTCAGACAGTGCGATTGGCACAGGACAGAACAGAGTTTAGGGCTGTTGTACACAGGGTCGCTATGAGTCACAAGCGACTCGATGGCACATAACAACAACAGACATCAAAGACAAGCATCAGGGAGCTCTGGTGGCCTAGTGGCTGCACTGCAATCCCAGAGGTACGCAGTTCAAGTCCACTAGATGCTCTGCTGGAGAAGGAGGGACAGTCTCCTCCTGCACCAGTCTGATCCAGTTTAACAGTACACACACAAAAAATAATAAATTTTTTTTTAAAAAAAAGACAAGCATCATAAATCTAAGGTGTGGCTGTAAAGTGGACTATTCTCAAACAGAGATCATAGTATTGTATTGCCTAGATCATGGATTCAGTGAAAAGAGGCATCAATCTAAAACTGAATCTTAATGTTTTTAAGTCAAAGAAAATCAAGGCAACAGTGAAGACCATGTAGGAAAAACCATCACAAATTCATACCTTGTTCCCATTTTATAATAGTTAATCATAAGCTTTTAGGTGTGTTACTAAAATTCACTTACAATACATTTACATGCTCATTTTTATAGAATGGGCATTCTACGGTGGGGGGTGTTTGCCAGTCTGTCTCCCAGTAATGAACCTGCATGCTCATTATTGTATAATGGATATAATGGGCATTCTTTTGGGGGTATTTTAGCTATCTACCAATAAAAAGCAAAACATTTTAAAATATAAATGTTTAAAAGGAAAGGACAAGGGAGCTCTGGTGACCTAGTGGCAAGACGCTGCACTGCAATCCCAGAGGTACACGGTTCAAATCCACCAGATGCTCTGCTGGAGAAGGAAGGGGCAGTCTCCTCCTGTACCAGTCAGATCTGATTTGACGGTACACGTAAAAATAATACAATAAAAATTTTAAAAAAAAGAAAGGACAGAAGTTATATAGGTGTCCACGACTTTTCTTTCACAAGGTCTCTGAGTCACCTATGACTCAATGGCACTTAACAACAACAACAATAATAATATGTGAGTTTGATATATGGTCAATTAGTATTTTAAATTATAACTGGTACTATTCAGGGATGATCATCTTTAAAAGTAGAAATACAAACCACTGCTTCATAAATTTACGAATTGGTTTTCTTTTACTACTTGCATATATCGGTCTTGTTTGATCTTAACATATAGATAGATATATTTTTACCTCCTTTCTAGAGATAATATTATTTACATTTGGGTTATACTTTATCAAAGCGTTTCATTCATCTTATCTCCCACATACACTGTCTTCTCTGATTTTGACAACTTTCATCTGAGGTAGCCAGGACAAATATTGTTCAAATTCTACGTAAAACAAGGAGGGAGGCTCAAAGAGACTTATGTGACTTGCTCAGGGTGAAAGATGTGACTCAGTGATTTTTACCCCCTCCAATTATATGATGTTTCTCCAGTTGACAGGTGAAGTGGCACTATATTAGTATAATTCTCTACAAGATTGGTTGAATGGCCTCTTAATCAACTGACCAGTCAAGCATTTTTCCACATTTCACACATGATTTGATTACTTCTAAGTGAACAATCTCCCAAGTACATGATTAGAACACTAATTTATCACTTCAATAAAGACACATTTTTCAAACTTCCCTTTTTACAAAAATTAAAAAAGTCCAAAACTCTAATGTTGTATACGAATCAAGTTAAAACGGAGTATCTTCTGTTCTTCATTGTAGTGAAGAATGTTGTCTGGATTCCTTCCACCTGGAAACCAGATTGTCAAATCTGTGGCAGAAGTCCAGATTCAGTTTTAGCCCTGGGGAAGCAGAGGACAAAACTCAAAAGCTCAGCTTTCTGAGTGGGGTGACTGAGTCAATGAGCTCTTTTCTGCCTCTGAGTCTGTTGGCCCGAAGACGTGGATATGATAGGGCTTCAGTTCCTCAGGAGGGATATAATCTGGGGCATTGCTCATGAGGTCATGTCCCCGGAATGATTTCGGGAAGGCTATGACATCTCTGATGCTTGCAGCTCCAGTGACAAGACAGATCAGTCTGTCTAACCCTGTAAGCGAAATGCAAAGTTAACAGTGAAAAGTGAATGCAGGTTGAGAGTTTTGTGAAGGTATAGAAAACATTTAAATAAGGCCTTATTAAACAAGTATACTATAACAGGGGTTTGATTAAAAACTGAATTGATTTCATTAACTATTTGGAATTGATATAAAATGTATACAAATGATCGAATGAAAACCATTTAAAAAACATGCAGAATTTTGAGTTTGTCTGCTATATCTCACTCTGTGCTGTGATACATATATAAATATGTTTCTAGTCATAATCTTTGTAACTTTTGCCATATGACTGGATGGGGCCATGTAAGTAAGGTTCCTAGAATGCTAATGCAGGGACTGTTCAGTCTTGTCATCCTGCTAGGCTTAAATGAAACGAGCCCACAGGTGGAAAAGGAGGATCTCACTCCAATCAAGAAAGAACCAGAGAGGGCAGCACATCCTCTGTATGAAGCAGAGAGGCAGAGCTGTGGCATTGGAGAGATAAAGCAAGATTGAAAGACAGGGAGAATAAGAAGCAACAGCAAAGGTAGTAGCAGTGGTGGCAGCAGAGGTAACACAAAACCAGAGACTATTGTGAGAATTCAGTCTATGGAGCACAAAAGCTGAGTAACTGGTGATGCTTTTGAACACTTGCCAGGCTTATGGACCCACAGAACCAGAGCCAAGTCTAGAGCTTGGGTTCAGGCTTACTGGCAGAATTGGAATGGGACATAATTAGCAGAACTAAAAGAGCTGTACAACACTTGTCCCAGCAGTCAAAGGTCAAGGGTCAGAAACAGGCTTGGCTTTCTGCACTCCTAATAAGAAGCTGGACTCAGTGAAGAATTATATCTGACCCTGTTAACTTCTCTACTAAGCCTCATAATTGTGAATGTTGTCTGAGTTTTGCAGTGGCCACTGCAATGAGTTACCAAGCCCAACAGAGAAGCAATGACTGTCACAGGAGGGAGAGCTGAAGGGACACCTTGTTGGAAGATGTGGCTCATGGGAGGCATGCCTGACCTCACTGGAATCAGCTTTGTGCTTTTTGATGGAGATTCTGTTCCCTTGTGAACTTAGTGGAGGTCAGACACCCCCATCTCCATGCTGCCACACTGTTATTACTAGGATTAATATACACATTCTACTAGGATTGATGATTCTAACAATTAATGAGCCTTTAGTAAGGGATTTATTAAGCCCTTGCTGAGGGCCTATAGCCTGAGTCTCCTAGAATTTCTCACACTCTTATTTGCTGAAAAAAGGGAGCAACCACAGAAATCACAACACTGAAGCATGTCATACAAGCAATGTGTCTCAACTATGAATATGTCTGTGAACTCACAGAGATAGAACAACACTAGCTTAACACATTGGTATTGTTCTTTAAAAAAAAATCGAGTCTAGGGAGCTCTGCTGGCCTAGTGGCAAGAAGCTGCACTGCAATCCCAGAGGTACGGCAGTTCAAATACACGAGGTGCTCTGTTGGAGAAGGAGGGGCAATCTCCTCCTATACCAGTCAGATCCTATTTGACAGTACACACACAAAAAATAATTTAAAAAATTTTAAAAATTGAATCTAATGAACTTATTGGTTGGTTTATCATTATAACTGGTAAAATGTTTATCACTGGAATTAAAACTCTCCCCTAAATGGTGAATCCACACGTGAGACATGGTGCTATGGAATAAAATTTAGCTTATAAAGGAAAAGACTGCTTACCCAAGGCAATGCCTCCATGAGGAGGTGCTCCATAATCTAAAGCTTGGAGGAGATGGGAGAGCAATTTCACATCTTCCTAAAATTCCAAAAAGTATCTCAGTTTAAATATATAGTGAAGTGTCATACAAAGTTCAACTAAAATAAACATTAAGAAATTTAAAGTTTAACTACAAACAAATATATAAATGAATGTAACACATAGAATATGCCCATTATTCATACAATATGCTATCGTATAGATTCCTTCTCTTTTTAAAATCTCAATTATCCCATTTCCATCATTAAAATTTTACTCCAGAGCCTGGGGTAGGGGGGAAGGTAAAATTGTACCTATTAAGTGATAACTGCTCTTTCTTTCTCAATCATTATCAATGTTTTCAGTCCTTTTTCACAGGTTACGAATTGGGCTAGGAAGTCATACTGCTTGGATTGGAATTCTGGCTTGGCTTCGTTCTGTGTTCTGTGATTCCATTCCCATCCCAAAGAAGGGTGACCCAACAGAGTATGGAAACTATAGAACAATCTCATTAATTTCACATGCAGCAAGATTCTACGGAAGATTATCCAGATGACTGGAACAGCACATCAGCAGAGAACTGCCAGAAGTCCAGGCTGGGTTTAGAAGGGGTCGTGGTACTAGGGATATTGAAGCTAGTGTTAGATGGATCTTGGCTGAAAGCAGGGAATACCAGAGGAATGTATATCTGTGTTTCATTGACTATGCAAAGGCATTTGACTGTGTGGATCATAACAAACTGTGGCTGACTCTGAGAAGAATGGGAATCCCAGAACACCTGATCGTGCTAATGAAAAACCTATACTTGGACCAAGAGGCAGTCTTCAGAATAGAGCAAGGAAACACGGCATGGTTCAAAATTGGGAAGGGCGTGCGCCAGGAATGTGTCCTGTCTCCATGCCTTTTCAACCTGTATGCAGAACAGATTATCCAGGAGGCTGGGCTCTAAGAGGAGGAATGTGGGGTCAAGATTGGTGGAAGATCTAGGAATAATCTGTGATATGCAGATGGCACAACCCTGCTTGAGGAAAATGAGGAGGACCTGAAGCACTTGCTACAGAGGGTCAAGGACTGTAGCCTCCAATATGGATTGAGGCTCAATGTCAAGAAGACAAAGATTCTCACCACTGGGCCAACTGGCAGCATCAGGATGAATGGTGAAGAGATTGAAATTGTTCACAGCTTTAGTTTGCTTGGCTCCACAGTCAACACTCTCAGCACCAGTAGCCAGGAAATTGCTGTTAGGGACCTCTCCAAAGTACTGAAGAGCAATGGTGTCTCTCTAGAGACTAAGGCGCGTCTGATATAGGCCATGGTCTTTGCAATCACTGTTATGTCATCCTGGAAAGGGTCAAACTGGGCGGCTCCTTGGAGGCAAGGATTCTGAGGCTCTGTTTAACATACTCTGGACATGTAAGGAGGGACTGGTCCTTGGAGAAGGACATCATGCTTGGTGGGGTGGAAGGACAGCGCAGAGGGGAAGGCCCTCTATGAGGTGGATTGATTCAGTGACTGGGGCAATTGGGATAGGTGTATTGGAGATGGTGCAATTGACACAGGACAGAGTGGAGTTTAGGGCTGTTGTATGAGTTATGAGTCGCAAGCGACTCGATGGCACATAACAACAACAACAACAACAACAACAACAACAACCACTTACCTCATAATGTAATTGCAAGATTAAGTGATTGTATATTTATAAAATTCTTATAACAGTGTATATCAGCACTCAAAAACAGCTGTTATTTGCTTGTCAAAGTCTTATACTAACCATAGAAAAATAATTCAGTGATATTCTATGCCCAGTGAATAATCCATTCACAACATATGTTTAACAAAACTTATAAATAAATAAGGGGGGTGGAAAGGGCAGATTAGATGATGTTACCTTTAATATTGTTGCTAGGATGTAACTCTGTAGTTTGGCATCGTGGATTCGGATAGAACCACCTCCTATCTCACTGCCATTTAAAACCAAGTCATAGTGTTGACTACGGACCTAGAAGAGTCATATGTTAGTTTTCATGCTAGAAAACATTTTGTTTTTCTGCTCTACAGATTAAAGCTACTGTTTCTGAGATATATTAATGATTGGTTCAAACATAACAATTTCTATTGGGTCAGACTATGAAATCTGAGGCTCTTTGCCTCTGTTGTTGTTGTAGGTGCCACTGAGTTGCCTGCAACTCATAGCAACCCTCTGTACGATAGCTCTGAACCTTGTCCTATCCCGAGCCAGACTCATTGGCTCTGATATACCTAATCCCATTGCCCCAGTTACTGTATCAATCCATCTCATCCAGGGTCCTCCTCTCCTGTGCTGTCCCTCCATGCTTCCACGCATGATGTTCTTCTCCAAGGACTGGTCCCTTCTTTGCCTTTATTTACATATTTTCTTTTATTTGAACATACAGATAAGCTACCTTTTCAGGCTCAGTGTATAGGAGGTCGATGTCACTGGGGTGGGGAGCAGTAAAAGGGTGGTGGGCTGACTCCAGTTCTCCAGGATTTTCCTCCTTGGGAAGGAAGAGTGGGAAATCCACCACCCACAGAAAAGAGAACAGAGCTGGATCACGGAGAACTACTCCTTTGGCTTCTAGAAGGTCAGCACATTCTAGCCGTAATTTTCCCAATAAAGAACACTGAAAATAGAAGAAACAAACATTTAATTAATTGCTGTGACAAAGTTGTTATTAGATGCCATTGAATTATGACTCCTAGTGACCAAAATCCTGTCCTATTCTGTGCCATCCTCATTATCTCTGACACATTTGAGCTCATTGCTGCAGTAATCATGTCAATTCATCTTGGGAGTCTTCCTCTCTTTCATTGACTCTCAACCTTTCCAAGCATATCTTAGGTACATGAAATGTAGGGTATTAACTTGAAATGGCCATTCTAATCATGTATGGTCTTCTAACTCCTATACAGTGATTGGGTGGGACTTGGAGATAGTGTGACCAGGGTGCTCCTTAGAGGCTAGGATAGTGAAAATTCATCTTACATATTTTGAGAATGTCAGGAGAGGCCAGTCCTTGGAAAAAGACACCATGCTGGGAAAGGTGGAGGGTCAGAGAAGGAGAGGAAAACCCTCAAGAAGATGGACTGACATAGTGACTGGGCTTGACCAGTGGACTTGAGCATTCCAAAGGTAGTGAGGATGGCACAGGATAGGGCAAGATTCAGATCTGTTGTTCATAGGAATGCTATGGCTTGAAGTAGACTCAATGGCACATAATACAACAACATGTAAATAAGGTGCATATTGCCCATAAAAGGGATTGGATAGTTTGCTGACAATCCAAATAAAGGCCATGAAATCTTCATGGGAGTGGCACTATGCAAATGGCATGTATGGAACCCAAACAAGAGGGTTCAGGTTTTGCCATCCCAGTAGGCTTAAGAAGAGCCAATTCCAAAGCTGAAGAGGACCTCATTACAAAAAAAGAAAGAAAGCTGGAAGTGGAACATGTCCTTTGGACCTGGGATCTCTGTGTTAAGAACCTCCTAGACCTGTAGATACAGAGCTATGACACTGGAGATGGTATAAGATACTGACAAGTAGCAGCAGTAGAACCAGGAGAACAGTGTGAGACAGTGTAGTATGCTAATCCACAGAGAAGATGGAAAGCCTTTGGCAGTAGGCTTCCTGGCTGAGTGGAGTGCCTGTACGAAATAATTAGCAAAGCTAAAAAGCTTTGTAACACTTCTGTGAGCAGAGCAGAGGCCAGGCCTGTTTTGGACCAAGGGTTAAAGAGAGAGGAGGCTTAAATTAATGAGGCTGAGAGGAGGCCTGTCCTTAGGTGGCTGAGAAGAGACCAGCATGGTCAAGTTCTGTACTGCAGAAGGAAGACTTTGCCTGTAAAACTTTTCCTGACCTTGATTTCAAGTTGCATCCTGCTACTTGACAGATAAACCTAATTAACTATATGGTGAGTTCTGTGTGACGACTGCAGTGAATTATCAAACCCTGAAAATGTGTAGAGAGTGCCAGTAGAGGGACAGGTGACGTCAGAATTGATTTAAGAAAGGAGAATTGGTCTGAGAAAAGTTGGCCAGAGGAGGTTTATCTGACTTTCCCTTCAGAGCCAATGGTGATCTTGATTCTCTCTCTCCCTACTTGTGAAGTTAGACGAAGAGGTCAAGTGACACCTCCAACTGTAATTTTTACAGCACCAAATGCTTGGGTTATACAATTAGATCATTCTCTGATAAAGAAGTAGCAAAAGTAGAGGTAGCTTTTATTTCCCATTCTGTAGACAAAGATCTGCGATGATCTGAGTACAACATAGTTGAGTATGACTGTGAATCTGATAACAAAGTGATAAAGAACACAGGTGTCAGAGATTGGTAGACCTGGGTTTGAATCTCTTTGTATTTTCTAATATTTCTGTACCTTTAATATTTCTGTACCTTTATAAGGCTTTGCATTTCCCCCCATAGTAAAATGGGGATAATAATGATCTATTCCAAAAGATTGTTGCGAACAATAAATAAGGAATGTATCTTAGTTATCACCAGTTATCTGGTGCTGCTCTAACAGGAATAACACAAGTGGGTGGTTTAAACAGAAATTTCTAGAAGTCTGAATTTAGGATTTTTACTTTAGTAAGGATGGCAGTTTAAAGACCAAGATATGCCTGTTGTCAAAGAATGTAGAGTCAGGAGGAGTCAGTCCTTGGAAAAAGACATCATGCTGGAAGGGTGGAAAGTCAGAGAAGACCCTCAACAAGTTGGACTGACATAGAAACTATAACAGTGGGCTCAAGCATATAGGAGACTGTAAGGATGGCACAGGATAGGGCAAGGTTTAGATCTGATGTTTGTGAAGTCACTATGAGTTGTAGTCAACTTGATGACACCCAACAACAACAATGACCTCCAGGGGAAGGCTTTCTCTTCCTGTTGGCTCTACGGAAAGGGCCCTTGTCCCTAGAGGTTTCTATTCCTTAGCTCATTCATCATCTTCTTGGGCATGACATCTATCTCTCTTATCTCTGTTCATGTTTCTGTCCTATTTTGTCTTTATATCTCAAAGGTAGTTGGTTTAAGACACCCTCTACCCCTCCAAAGTGCTAAAGAGTAAGAAAGTCAGTTTAAGACAAAGATGTACCTGATTCAAGCCATGTCTTTCTCAACTACTTCCTATAACACGTGAAAGCTGGACAATGAGTATGGATGGCAGAGGAAAGTCAAAGCCTTTAAGTTGTGGTGTTGGATATTATTCATGTTGTTATTGCCGAGTATCCCAACTGTCAAAAGAACAAACAAATCTATCCTGGAGGAAAAGCAATCAGGCTGCTCCTTAGAGGCAACTCTGGTAAGACTTTACCTCATATACTTTGGAAATGTTGTCATAGTCCTTGAAAAAAGACATCACACTGAGAAAGGTGGAGGATCCACAAAAGAAAGGAAGATTCCTGACAAGATGGATTGACACAGTGACTATGACAATGGGGCCGAGTATATAAAAAATGGTGTTTGGTGTATAATTAATGGTCAATAAATGCTGGCAATTATTAGCGAAGTAGTATGGACTAGAGGTTAACCTAAGAGTGCGAATAATGGAACCAGTCTTTGTGGGTTAGGAACCTGGCTTCACTATTTCCTAGGTGTGAAGAAGATTCTTTTCAACCTCTGTGCCTCAATTATTTTTTCTTTCAATTTTAATTTCTGCACCTAAATTTTCTTATTTATTTAATTAAAATATGGAACTCTTCATGAATTTGTGTGTCCTCCTTGCACCAGGGTTGTGCTAATCTTCTCTGTATTATTCCAACTTTTTTCATTTTTTTTATTAATTTTAATGAAAGTTTACAGAGACTTTGGATTTCTACTCATTCATTGTTGCACTTTTCTCCCTGCCCAGCCTCCCCCCTAGTTCGCTCTTCTCTTTGAAAAGTAAAAGAAAAATTCTTTCATTGTTATACAATCCCTCCCCTCAAGTCCACTCCACTGTTCAGCCTTAGTTCTGACTCCTGTCATGACAATAATACCTAATCATATATCCCTTTTAAACAGTTCTCTCCCTCATCTGTTTCAATGCAGTATACATAATTTATCCCATCTTTCTTAGTCTCCCCCCCAAACCCGGTGTCAGTCCTGTTTTACATCAGTGGCACTATGCAGTATTTGTCCTTTTGAGACTGAGACATTTCACTCAGCATAATGCCCCCCAGGATCACCCATTTTGAATAATATTTCATGAGTTCCTTGTTTTTCAATGCAGCGTAGTATTCCATTGTATGAATATACCACAGCTTCTCTATCCATTTATTGGTTGATGGGCACTTAGGTTGTTTCTAACTCCTTGCTATTGTGAACAAAGCGTTGATAAACATGGGTGTGCATATATCTGCTTGGGTGGTGATTATGGTTTCTTTGGGGTATATTACCAGTAGTGGAACTGTTGGGTCAAAAGGTATTTCTATTTGCAACTTTTTGAGAAAGCGCCATACTGCCTTCCATAGTGGTTGCACCTATTTACATTCCCACCAACAGTGAATAAGGGTTCCAGTTTCTCCACAACCTCGCCAGCATTAGTTGTTTGATGTTCTGTTAAATTTTGCTCTTCTTACTGGGGTGAGATGATATCTCATAGTTGTTTTGTGTATTATTCCAACTTTAGTACATGTACTGCCAAAGCAAGCACTAATTTTCTTATCTTTAACACTACAACAGTATCGGGATGTCTCACATAGGGTTGGCATCAGGATTAAATAAGCAAATGCGTACAGAATGCTTAGAGCTGTGCTGGGCAATAGGGAACATTGTGATATATATTACTTCTCTGAGAAAGGGCAGGAAAAAGAAATGTGCCTGAAGACATGGACAGGATCTCACTCTGTGGTTCATTCTAACTTACATTTAAATATTTATACAGAGAACTTATACTGTAACATGTTATTGTTAAGTGTCATGAGTTAAGCACAACTCATAGCAACCCTATGAACAAAAGACCTAAACTTTGGTCTATAACTATTGTCGTTTCTCTAAGTTCATAGAATTTCCAGAGGCATGTTGTTTATGAAGTGTATGCCACTCCTGCTCTGAACATTTTCTTAATCTTGGAACTCCACCAAACATTGTCCACCATGGGTAACCATTAAGGCATTTGACACACCAGTGCCACAGTGTTTAGCATCATAGCAACCCCAAGTTACCTCAATACAACCTAATGACAGACCACTGCTCTACCACTTAGAAGAATGTTCATTCCAAACACATTAACACCAGGCCTGCAGACATCAACAAACTTTTAAATACACAGGCCCACCCAGCAGGTTCTGATTGGCTCTAAACATGAGGCACATTGTTAGCCAAATCCAGCAAATATAATCAGCTTACACCAGGTTATGAACGAAATAAAACAAACAGTCCACACCCAACCCTCAACCAAAATAAGAAGAACCCACCTTTCAAAATCCAACCACTTCACAAATGAGCCTTACTGTTGTTTTTGTTAGTGTCAAGTTGCCTGTGAACAACCATTGGGACCCTCTGTACAGCAGCTCTGAACCCTGCCCTGTCCTGGGCCAGTCTTGCTAATTCTGACACACCAACCTGCATTGCCCAAGTCACTGTATCAATCTATCTCATCTGGGGTCTTCCTCTCCTGTACTGTTCCTCTTCCCTTCCAAAAATGATGTCCTTCTCCAAGCACCTGTCTCTCCTGGCCCCATGAGAGACAGGTCTAACCAAAGTATGTATCTCACCAAAGTATGTGAGATAGAGCTTCAAAATCCTAAGCCTCCAAGGAGAGAATTGGTTTCACCCTCCCCAAGACATACCTATTGTTTTCTTGGTGGTCTATGGTATGTTCAAGACTCTTCTCTAGCACTACAAGTCAAAGGCATCAATTCCTCTTCGGTCATTCTTAGTCATTGTCCAGCTCTCTGATGCATAGCAAGTAATTACGAAGACCATGGCCTGATCAGGCGTACCTTAGTCTCTAGACTGACGTTGTTTTTCAGTACTCTGGAGAGGTCCCTGATATAGTACTCTTCATAAACTTAGTTTCTAGCTTTCTTTCAAGGCAAGTCCAGTGGTAATTAGGGCCACAATGTCCTGAGAAGAACATCAGCACTTTTGGTTCATCTCAGAGGAAAGTCTAACATTCTATGCAGCAGGACTTTTATTCTCCCCTACACTTACATAAAACAAATTTCAAGATATTTCTTAAGAAATGTATTCATATGCAACACTGAATGAATGGAAATCCAAAATCTCTGTAAATGTTCATTAAAATTAACAAACTAAAAAAAGAAATGTATCCATAATAAAAGAGAAAGGAAAAGACATTTATCATTGATGCTAAACTCTAAAAACTTCTTTGGGAAGAAATAATGATAAATAAATAGTAAAAACAGATTTTGAAGAATGGCTTTGATAAAATAATAGACACCTTATAAAGAAACCATTTTATATGGAAGAGCAAGAATGAATTGATACCCTCCAGCATATTTTCACAATTCCTGTATGACTTTTGTATCATGTTATTGTTGTTGTTAGGTGCCATTGAGCCGAGTGTGTCTCATAGTGATCCTATAAACAAAAGATCTGAACCCTGCTCTGTCCTGAACCATCCTCACACTTCTTGACACACAAGAGCCCATTGCAGTAGTCACCATGTCAATCCCCCTGGTTCAGGGTCTTCCCTCCTTTGCGGACCCTCATACTTTTGTATATTTTACAATGATCTCCAAGCTAATTTCTATCTTCCACATATCTCTGAAAAATGGTGACTTTTGCTGCTGCTCTTGAGGAAAACAGGTCCATCTGGACCAAGGTGGATGAGGGGTATCTACCAGTCCAGCAACACTCCAACACTCTGATCTGACTTTCTTCATATCAAAGTTACAAAATGAGAATGTTTTTCACTGTTACACAATTACTACCAACATATCTGTAAGGGAGGAACTTTATAGATGGAGTCAAATACAAGCTAGTTGCTGAGGGAAAAAAACCAAAAAACCCTAAACAACCAAATCTGCTATCGTGTTGATACCAATTCTGAAGGACCGAGTACTGTTGTCCACAGGACTTTGAAGGCTGTGAACCTTGATAGAAAAAGACTGTCTCATCTTTCTTTTGCGGCACAATTTCCACATCCAAATCACTGGCCTTTCGGTTAAAAAGCCATATTCTTTAACCACTGGGCCACACGTTCTCTAATTATGAACTTCCTGATGACATTTTTTTAGTGTTTTATAAAGTAATGAAAGACAAGATATTTCTCTATAAAACCTCACTTAACAATAACTCCATTCTGACTAGGATGCCATCAGGCAAACTGTGAAGGGCCTTGTCGCCAAGGCCTACGGGGTCGTGGGGTGTGGGTTTTGCACATTCCTGAGAGTCATGGCAAAGTTGTTCAACGATGTATTGAGAAGTGCAGTAAATACATGTTTTGAGAAAAATGAAAAGAAAAAAAAAGAAAGAATAACTCCATTTTATAAAAAGAAGAGTTAATTTCAAATATGTACCATATGTATAGGAGAAATAGTATTATTCAGCATTAATAGCACAAGACACTTTTAAGGATTTTTCTCACCGTTTTCTTGTGCTCTCCGGCAGTTAGCAGAACCACTTCTTCTCCATGGATCTCTAATAATCTGATCAGTTCCATTTTTTGTTCCTCTATTATGGATTTAGCAACTGGAGAATTCCAGTTTTGATTGGCTTTCAGGAATACAGGTAAGACTTCCTATGATAAAGAAAAAGACATTTACCTTTTTCTCCCTGTCTCCACTTTATTTTTATATTGGCTTGCATACAAAATTCGCATACATTGTGTATCATTCATGTGTACTGTATTGTACACATTCCTATGTTCACATTGTGTTTCAAATGATAACTCATGTATACTGGGCTTTATAATTATTTATCTCTTTAAAAAAGGTAAGTTTTGATTTCTTTTTCTCACAGAAGTAGTATGAAAATTTCTCGTTCCCAATACAAGAGAATAATATATATGAAATTATCCTGCTCCTTCACTGTTATTGTCACTTGGTGCTGTTAAGTCGACTTTAAGTAATAGCAACTTTGTGAACAACAGATCAAGACTTTGCCCTGTTTTTTGCTGTCTTCATGATCTTAACCACGCTTCGGGAAGTCAATTGTGGCAGTCACTGACAATTCACCTTGCAGATTACCTTCTCTCTTTTGCTGGCCTTCTGTTTTTCTAAGCCTGCTCATTAACCAGGCTTCTTCAAAATAATATTAAAGAAATTTCAAAAGTCATCTCATCACAATGGGGGGGGGGAAATGAAAATGGGAAGTGGACAGCTGTATCAGCAAGTAAAAAATGCCCACAAATTTTTGGCAGACTACAAGCATATGGAATAGAAATGATCAAAAAAGCAAAATGAAGGCTGTTCTGGCCTAGGAAAAAAATGGAAAGAACAGATTTTGCATTGCAGAATCCTGCAGAGAATTAGGATTCTTAAGAACCCTGGTTACCGGGGAAACAGCTAATAGCTTTGGTGTAAAAACTAAACTAAACCTACCAAGAGTCAAAATGCCAGTGACCAAGTGGTCATGTTAGGCAGCTTTTAAAGCCTTTTCCTTAAATGCAGATAACTGGCAATCACTACACATTGAAGAAAGAATCCAACATTTAAAAAGAGGTCAAGAGAGTACAAAAATAATCACCGAACACAGATAATTTTTAGAGAACAGATGAAAACTTGCATCTTGACATACATTAAAAAGATTAAATATATCAGTAAAACAAGAATGAAACACAATGAATAAAAACAAGACAAGGCTACTGAGACATTTTAAAAAAAGACATATTCATCAGGAAAGTTAGGCTTCCTGAAACGTAGAACTAAAGGCCAGAAAAAACCTCAACAAGAACTAAATAGAAAAATAGACATACAAATGACATAAGGGAGGTACAGAATACAGCCAAAAGAAATTCTAAAAAGAGAAATGACACAAAAATTGTCAGATAAAATACTTTCATAAGCCTTCATATTAAAAAAGCCCATCAAGTACCCAACAAGCAGACAATTAATACTAGACACATTGTAAAATTTCAAAACATCAAGAATCAAGAAGCTGAAAGCTTCCAAAAAGAAAAGATCTGATCTCTTATCAAGGGATAATTTCACTTTAACTTCAGACTTTGCATTAGTAACAATTTATGGAAAAAGAAAAATCTAATGATCAAAGGCTGGATGCTCTCCAACAACATAGCTGTTACAGGTTGAACTATGTCCCTCCCGAAAATATATTTTAAAATATGGATAACCATTTGGAAATTAGTACTTTGTTGCATTAAGAAAGCACTTTTTAAAAAAATTTTATTATTTTGTGTGTGTGTACCGTCAAACTGGATCTGACTGGTACAGGAGGAGATGGCCCCTCCTTCTCCGGCAGAGCATCTGGTGGATTCGAACCACATATCTCTGGGATTGCAGTACAGCTTCTTGCCACTAGGCCACCAGAGCTCCCCTAAGAAAGCATTTTTGTTAGTTGCTTTACAGTAGACTATGACTCATAGCAACCCTATGAACAACAGGTCTGAATCCTCTCCTCCTGGTATAGAGCATATCTTAGGTAAATTTCTTTTGAGATATAAAAGAGATTAGGAAAATATCACAGAGACTTGGGGAGAAGGACGTCAAGTCACATGAACATCAGCTAGGAATCAAAGATCATAACATACAAGGACTTTACTCCAGAGCCAACTGAGAAAGTCTTCTCTTAAGAATTGGCACCTTGAATTTGGACTTCCAGCCTCTGAAACTGTGAGAAAATAAATTTCTGCTTGTTAACGTCACCCTACTTACAGTATTTCTGTTATAGCAGCACTAGGTAACTAAGACTGGGCCATTATCATATTTAAACTGATTTAAATTTAAACTAATTACAACTAAGTAAAAGAAAAAAATTCAGTTCTTCAGTTATACTAGTTTTGTACATAGGGTTTTCAGAGGCCTGCTATTTCAGAAGTGGATGGCCAATCCTTCTTCCTAGTCTGTCTCAATGTGAATGTTCAGATTTAGAGAAGTCT